CTCTACGGATAAAGGATTTTCTACTCAGGTGTCGAATTTATACCCCGTTGCCAGGCTAGTGGTAATATTCTGGTAGAACTCAACCTGAGAGAATCACTGAACAGAAGTTTGTAAGTGGAATAGTGAGAGCCCTTCGACTGTTCGTTGCAGGATGCGAAGGCTTTGTCCTTGGGTAAGGTTTAGGCGCCTAATCCAGAAGAAAAATAGTCGTGTTTCCTGCATGAAGTAAGTAAAAGTAAAAGTGTATTCTACAATATGCGGACAAAGGAATCCACCATTTTGATGGGCGATTTCAGTGTGTATGTCGGAGTACACGCGAAAAATGGAAAGATGAGGTAATGAAGAACGGCCGTACCAACCATAACAGCAAAGGCTTGGAGTTTTAGTTTATTTGTGCAAACAACAGATTATCGGCCATTAGCAACTTCCTAATGGACATAAGAGGTCCAATTGCCTGTCAACGAAACCGTTTTTGTATTGACGAGGGGACTTCGAAACAATGAGCGTTCAACTTGAATGTGGTATGTGGAAGTGGCTGAATTGGTAGCAAAATCAGTAGTAAAAGCAAAAGCTGATTCCTGAGAAACGTGGGGGGCGGCGGGGGGAGGTGTGGAGCAGACTTTCAAGGCAGCAAACAAAGCATTTTTGCAGTTCATCCGATGAAAGAAAGGGCAGTCAAGCAATTCTGAAAGACAAGTTCAGACGTCTTCTAACCAAACAAAAAATATAGTTCGGCGACGGAGAGAGTACTTTAAGGAATTGTTTAACCTCGAGCAACAGCAGAGACACCCACCGGAAGAGATTCAGGGAAAAGATTTTAGCCTTTCAGTAGACGACGTCAAAAAAGCTGTGTAATGCTTGAAAAGGTGGAATCGCTGCCGCCCTGAGATTTTTAAAGCTTTAAACAATCAAGGCATGTTATGACTCACACGTGTCTGTCAAACTACAGAGACGACTGCGAAGACACCAATGAACTGAAGAACGGGGTTGTAGTAACCATTCAGAAAGGGAAACCATGATAAATGTTCAAAATAACAGCGCATTGCCTTGCTGAGACTCGCAAGAAAATTCTACGCCAAAGCGTTGGAAAGAAGATGCCGTAGAATTGGCGACTTCTAAATCGAACAAGAGCTGGAGCCTTTCTATCGGGTCAAAGCATCTTTTGACCAGATCTTCTTTACTCTACGCCAGATTGTTGAGAATTCGCGGGAGATCGCTCGAGGTTTACATGTGCTTGGTGAAAGCTATGTCCGGATCCTGCGTAAAAATCTCTGGGAGTGCCTGCAAACAAATGGGAATGATTGCCAGCTTCCACGAGCAATCCAGTCACTAAACGAGTCAGAGTACATGGCGTTAGGCCGAAACCTTTCTAACGTTGGCACTAGCCTCGCCTATACTGCATTCTGTTCTCTCTCTTCTGTGTGCCGTGCATGGATTGTATGATCAGGAATGTGCATGGTGACTAGTGAATCAGAGCAGGAGATGTCGAAAACAGTAGCTTGATGGTTCAGACGATTTTTTGTTGGCATCTTCTGAAACTGATCTGCAGGACGCCCTGCAGAGATTTGCAGCCGAGTGTGAAATGAAACATGTCTGACGCAAAAAAACCTATTCGTTTTTTGTTTCTCCTGCTCTCTACCTTCCGCAGAAAAGCGTAGAAGCAGTGGTAGAGGTTATGAAGTTCATGTCGTTTATGTACCACGGGGTCATGTTTACTTGCAATGGCAAATGGCCAGAAGAGATCGGCTAGCAGCATGTTGCGGAAGCTATTCTGAACCGTTGTCACTGTGGCACAGCTGAATCTGAACAGGGAGCTGCCTGTGTTCAGGTTGATTTTCATCTCCATTTTCAGCTTCATCATGAGTCAGGAGCCATGATTGAAAACGTGACCTCGGGTGCAAAACGGTTTCTAAAATGGGCCATTTGAGACGACTCATTTGACCTACCAGTATTGATGTGGCTTGGAGCGTAGAGATCTGAGAAAGCCTTAGTATACGGCGACCGCTGCTTCTCCAAATCGAGAAGTCATAGATGCAATTGTCCGGGCTAGTCATTTAGATCTTTTCAGAAAGGAAGATTAAACAGCTACTACTTGCTCAATGGACAAGTCGAATACCCTAGGGACGGCAAAAAAATTCCTCTAAGCTAAGAAGCTGGCGGAAGTGTTGGAACAGTGAAGATACCTTGTGTCACATTTGCCTCTACGACCAGAACGGACGAACGGTCATCGAAACTGACTGACTAGGATGGAATCGCTGGTTTCCAGACAGCGAAAACATTTTAGCGTCTGATTCATATTCATTGCACTTCAAAATGACAACGAGCTTGCAACATTGATGTGAACCGCTTTTCCTGCAGTGCAGTTGTGTTAATTCCATCAGGCTTTCATGAATATTTACATTCTTTCATTCGACAGGAATAAAATGTTTCGCAAATTTGATGATAAATCTCTGCCTCTTTCGGTTTTCAATCGGGTATCGTTGTTTTGACTGTTTCGACTAGTTTCCAAACCTAGACATTGTACATCTCTGCTCCACGGCTTCAGATCGTTAAAGAACTTTCTCCACCACATTTTTCTCTTGATCCTTGCGCTTTGTTTTAGCTTTTTGGCAGTATATCTACGATCTTGTCCATTGAAATGGATAAAATTCAAGGAGGATAATTGAATTCGCTTCCCGTCGTCATTATAAGTTGCCGTTAATGTATCTGTCTGTCTCCATTTCATTCTTTCGTTAAAACACGTGGCAGCAACGAACACTTGCTCTGTTTTAAATCAGGACTACATATGTCCAAATCTCCTACAAAAATCTCGTCGCACGCCCATCGATTGGCTTTCTGCATCACTGATTGAGCTATTTTCGAAGTGACTGCGCGCCTGGACCGGATGGCATTTTGTCCATAGTGCAGATGCCGTACAAAATAAAATTCCGGATGCTTTCAACAAGTGCATGCGTTTTTATGTTGGTCTTGACTGCTGGCGCTCGACAAGAATCATTCTCCTACTTAAAACAAATCTGCCGGTAAACTGGAAGTCTTCTGTCCAATGATGAATGATCTTCGGTTCTTGATCAATGGTTC